TGTTGACATATGCAAATCTTTCAAGCCACCTGAGCTGTCCTCCCTTGAAGCCATACCAGGCAGGGCAGTGGCGACTGAAGAAGATCTCAACGGAGCCAAGTGCCCACCTGAGCACTTGGTTGAGACGGTCTGACAGGTTGATAGGAGCTGAACCCTTAAACGCAGCTCTCTTTGGCATGCAGTAGATAGATCTCCAACCACGGCAATGCATCTTGAAACCTGTTAAGATATCCTCCGTAATTGAGCCATAAATCCAGCCAAACTGCATTTATAATAGCCAATCAGAACCTCAGATTTGCAACTCATAATGCACTACAGGTTAAATGTTCCGCAGGGTGCAATACCTCAGTTCCCCATTCAGTTTTGTCTTCATAGCCGCAGCTAATTACATGAATGGCTTCTTTAAGCAGGGCTGCAGGGCTTGAGGAAGGAGGGACACCACCTTCTTCCATCAAAGTTGAAGTCACAAAGATGGCTGACTGCCCAAATTTCTTTTCGAAGTTCATTTGGGACATCAATAACTCCTTATCGTCATCTACTCCTGCTCATGTAACAAATTAGGTGAGTTGATGGAAAATACACAAGGAGGGAATTCAAGAACTGAGGGATATAAATACCATTGGTTGCACCATCTCCACCGTGCTTAGAGTGTTTTCTATCCTTTTTGCGACGTCCAAAGCAAGGGCAGCAATCACAGCTTACCATCTTAGGGCGTTTAGGACCCTTTGGAGGTTCATAGCCATATAATGCTTGTCTTCTGAACACGCATCCTGTGCCGACATAAACAGGACCCTGAATACCATCTAAACCTTTCATATTAATCTGCAGAGACCAGGGATAACAAAAGTAAGCATTAGTTCAATTACTTCTCATACAGTCGTAGGGAGCAAAAATGAGAATGAGGACCTCTTCAGAATACTAACATCAAAGAAGACAGTGTTTCTGTTGGCATAACGATCGTGTCTATCTATTCCATCAAATCTTTGAGGGAATTGCACATAGCAGACCTTCTTTCCAATTTGGGGGTCCATTAAGAAACACATAGCCTCTCTTACAGCCTTGCTATTATTCACATAATGGTCACAGTCCAAGTTCAGCATAAACGGAGCATTTGTAAGCACTGCAGAAACACGAATCTGAAGTTTGCAGGGAATCAGTATAGTTGACATAAATCAGGACAAAGTGGAAGGGGATTTGAACTGAAGAAAAAATGTGAATGTGAGTGCCTAAGATACTCACCAAGGCATTCTCGGCACCAGCTTTCTTGTGATGCTGAAAACCCGGTCTTTTCTCACGAGATACATAAACAAGGCGAGGGAGCTCATTTCCTTCAGCATCAACGCCTCCACTGTGGCCAAGAAAAACTTGAATCATACCAGGGTGATCCTTAGTATTGTTCCCTGGCCATGGGGTCCCATCTTGCATGATCCAACCTCCGGCCGGAACCTTTTGAGATTTTGCTACAAGCGCATTTATCCTAATCTTGAATTCTTCATATTCTCTCTGAAAAACACCAAAAAAATAATTGATTTAAGTTTCACTAAATTAGCTTCTTATAGCTTAAAGTTAAACTTAGAGGAAGCTGGGAGTTCTTTTACAAACCTTCATGGCACGACGTTCCTTAACAAATGTGGGTTGGACTTTGTCCTTAAGATAATCGATCTTTAAGGTGAAGTACCACTCAGGGGCTCTAGGCTCTATAGAGAACTTCTTGCAGAAAGGTACCCATTTCCGAGCAAATTCTGCAGTTTCAGATAAAGCCTCAAAGGTTAACATGGCAGCACCATCATCAGAGACGTAGCATGAGACCTTGTCCACTGGGTAGTCCATGGCCAAGATTGATAAAACTGTGTTGGCTGTAACAAGAGGAGGTTCCTTCGTAGGATCCACTGTACTGACAAATATATCCACTGGAGCAAGCATATTGGGCTCCCCCTCCGTCTCATACCTGCGTCACAAAATAATCATTAACCACCATGCGCCTGAAGGAAGAAGAAAAACCAAAATACATGTGAAGGCAAATTAATCATCCCAATGAGTGAAGACTTTAGCTGCCAAATGAAAACATGAAATTTATATGTGTCAACCTGAGGGAAAGCCGATCAAGGTATGTTTCACGATCAATAGGGAACCATTTGGGGAACTGATCAAGGATCCATGAAAATGCAAACCAGATTTCACAGACAATAGAGGTCAGCCAGAGCCCAATTGCATCATGCACCGGGTTCAAAATTCTATACCGAAGGAAGAAAGCAAGAATAACCAGCCGAGCCACAATCAACATACGATAAGGATTGATCTTGCTAGATGCAATTGGAACTTTCCTTGAGAGTGGCTGCCTAGCTTCATCAATCCTGTAACCAGTGTAAAAACATGAAGGGATGCCTGTTAATGACTTGGGTATGAAACATACATTCCCTTCGTTCCTTGTAGTTATGAAGACAAACATTATTGTTAAAAGGGTGCTTACAGTGCCATGTCAGGATCATTGGCGTCTTCTGGTTCAGGACCAAGGTTTCCTTGTTGCAGTTTCCAGTCATCCATCCTCTCTTTCCAGCCTCCCTCTTTCTTGTCATCCCCTCTTGCACTTCCTTTTGTTTGTAAGAATCGTAGAACAGATTGTGAGAGATCATGTTTCTTAAATGATTTTGCAGCGTAAAGGTAAACAATTTCAGGGGAAGACATACCAGGTTCTTCCATGGGATATGGGTGCACTCGTTTATGAAGAGAAGAAGATGATATCTGCTCTCCATAAGCATGAGCCGCTCCAATCGGAAATTCACCACTTACCTGCACGGATGCACATTAGATCTTCAAATACGAAGTTTAATTAAAGGGAAGTAAAAGAGACATCTCCTAACAAGTGCTTTGGCTTACTGGTCTGGATCTGCCACCAGTTATAACAGGTGGGTACTGAGCATTCTCGTCGTCTTCAGGCCCTCTTCCATAGCTCATCTTCCCATGAAGCATCGCTTCAGCGAGATGCTTGTGCTTGTTTTGCTCGTCTTCAATGTTAAATTCGTGTTCAATATCGTCCACATCCTCTTCATCTTCATCTCCCGCAACCCTAGGACTCCCTTCACAATATAATCAAGTTAAAACATTCAATCATATCCTCAGCCATGCAATTTTCATTCTGTATAGGTAAGAACTAATCAATTAATACCTTTAAGACGTTTGTATCTAGTCCTGCATTGAGGGCAGTGCTGAGTCCCTTCCCTCCTTTCATACTCATAGCAGGGCCTACAAACCGGAAACCCACACTCATTACAGGCCACAAAAAGATCTCCGTCCACCGTCAGGCCAATGTCGTCCCCGCAAATCTCACAGACCTGACCATCCAGATTCTTCAAAGGCTTGGGCTGCACAAAACCAAAAAAACCCACATTAACCAACCCATTAAAACATATCAACTAACACTTCATGTCCATTCCATTCTGTACACAACGTACCTCTTCGTGGCCATGAATGACGACCAGCTCATTCCGGTTGTGGGAACCGGCAACGAGTCCTGCACTGGCTTCCATAAGGAAATGGGGGCGGTGAGGGATGATGTGAGAATGGAATGGGAAAGAGGGTATAGTGTTTTATGAAGGAAGGTAGGACATAAGAAGAGGTAAAGATGAAGCTCCCACCTAAAGTGTGCAGGTATGGGAAGGGTGGAGCGGGAGTTGGGTGCAGAGTCGCCATTGCCTTGAAGTAAAGCTTCGTCTATTTCTCAACTACCAGCATGTCCCTCTTTTTCCCCGGTTTTTTCAAGCTTCAACGACCGCCTAGCTCATGTCATTCTTTGTAATATACGGTATCTTTATTTTATTCTATTTTAAATTACATAATAAAAAATAATTATTTTTCATTCATATAATTCAAATTCAAAACATTGTTAGCTCTTTTATAGAAATAAAAAATAAAAATTGGTGGCCCTTATTTTTGTTTTATTTTTTGAGTTTTATGTTTTTTATGGTAGACCATACAATGTAAGTGTAATTTAGTACTCAAATTACTATATTAACATTAATAAATTAGTTTAAAGAAGAATTTTATTTAATGTATTTTAATAAATACATACCTTGTACTACACTTTTTTTATGCAGTTTGTCTAGTCCAACTTGAAAAAACACTTTTAGTTATTTTTTTACAATTATTACTTTTTATTTTCTTTAAGAAAACTATTTTATAGGGCAGACGGTATGCAGTTCGTTTTGTAAAATTACTTAAATACCTTTAAATTTGTGTTTATATTATTTTTTCAAGGACATTTAATTAATTTTATAAGGGAAACTATATACGGTTCATCTTGTAAAACAGTTTTCTGTTTTTCTTTATAACCTTTTTTTTTTTTTAAAGAGCCTATCTTATATCCCCTTTATTTTTAAGAGTTCAACTTAAAGCTTTTCGATGGCAAAGAAAAAAAAAAAAACCTTAAAATTTTTAATATGTAGGCTCAAATTCAAGCTGTTGAATCAAGTAACATGTCAAATTATCACCACGTCAAATTATCACCACAAACATGAAAAAACCAACATAAAAATGGACTGCAACATTTACGTGTGAAGAATTATTGCACCTGATGCTTTCAGGGGCCTATACCATAGTTAGCATGTCGATTTATATTATTATATTGTAATATAAATAGTTGAGAATTTATCGTTCTATAATCTAAACTATTTTGCATTACAAAATAAGATCTTTATATAGGGAGAGGGTCTCTAATATTAAAGGATCCTCTCACATTCAAATATCAGTGTTTTAACATCTAAAACAATTTAGATTATGAAACATTTTTTTGAATAGTTAAATATAGACCTTATTGTTTTGGTATAGGGAACTTGAATTTGTTTGCTTTTCGGCTTTATAAAGGAATTTGAAGCTCATTTTCGAGGTCAACTCAACATGCATGGAGCAGGAGGTCAAGGTTTGTTTTGGTTATAATTATAAATGAAATGGTGTGTTATAACGTAGCATCAAGGGCATTCATAAAAAGACAGTCCACAAGAAGTAACAATCACTGAAATTTGTTCTTGCTCTATAAAGTTAGATTACCCAGAATCTCAAGATTCCCAGAAAGCAAGCAGCAATTTTCATATCAAGGGAAGGAAACGCAATATGCAAATCCATGCAAGGGAAGAGGAAAGGAAAACTGAGGATGACATGTGTATCCCATGGTTTAGTCAAGCTTGCTTTGTTTGGGGGTTACAGGATGATAAAGGGCGAGAAAGAAAAACGAAATATTTGCTTGGAAAGTAAGAAAGTAAAACTCAAGCCAAGTTCAATTCATTTGGTGGGTAGGTTGAAGTCTCCCCATCCAGACAGCGCAGGGCTTCCAACCTTTTCATAGGATGATTAGTCCCTTTCTGCATACACAACACTAACATTAACAGCAATTCCAAAAAAAAACAGTAAGCCAGTTTAGATTTTGCCTGCACAGGAACAGAATTTGGGAAATAGCTTCATCTTTCTTTTTGGGATGAAAGATATATCAACCCTAGCTAGTAAAGACAAAATACAACTAACCTCTGGCTCAGTTGCAGACAGTGAAATATGAACCTACAACCATTTCATTTAGAAAAGATTGCTTATGACAATAAAATGCTATCTAAGACTTGACACACAGAATGCGATTGACTATTAAATTCTATACAAAACTTCTGAGATTGCCAAACAAAGTTGAAGAACAAAAGTTGTACATGCCTGTTGATCCTAGTGCCTCGAAAGCTCTCTTTATGACTTGATTGCAGATGCAGCACTCAAACGCCAGCCGACACTTCATTTGCGGTTGATTGATCTTTTTTCTTTCCAGGTTCTTGAGCTTTTTGTAGAACAGCTTTATTTGGAACCAAAACTATAAATATGTTCCGATCCCTGAAGTTTTTGCTCTCCTCAGTTGCAAGCTGTTGATCAGCACCAAAATAGCAATTAAAATTCTGAATTTAGAGAAGCTAGGTGATCAGAACCAAATTCCCAACAGATACAAAGGCTGCGCAAAATAATTATAACACAACCAAAGTTATAATTCACTTACCTTACCTAGAAATCACCTGAATAAAATTTCTTAAATGCTAGACATATACATATATTAAATCCTAGTTCCTAATGACTTATTTATTATTGAGTTCGCAAAAGTGGTATTAAATGTCACTTTCTTCTTCTGAGGGGAAAAAAAAACCCAGAAGAAACAAATAGTGGCCAAATCTCAATGCAAATTTCAGCTTTTCATCATCAAAAAGTTCTCATAAATTCTCTCTATTCAACTCCTTCAGTCTATTTCACAGTTCAAACCCTGCAAGCTCCCAACCAAACTCAATGATCAACTACATGATTTATTCTACAAGAAACTGAAATATTGCAATGTTTGAAGTTCTAGAGAATATTTTTCATGAAGAGGACTAGATGTTCCATAACGTACCTCACCAACATCATTTTGGAAACCTCTGATAAGTTCAATGGCAATATTTCTGAACTCGTTTTCCCGCCCTTTCAAGTTTACTATGACTTTAACCTGAGTGCATCAACCAAAGCATTTGAGTATGTATAATAGCCAAAAAAGGATGGTAGCAAAACTATGTTCTAACAGGTTAACTATAGATATGCAAGCATACTTAGAAAATAAAAATACCTTGTCACCATCTTTTAAAAACTTCCTTGCAGCTTTCAAACGCACAGAATAATCATGTTCATCAATGTTGTAACTGTTAACAATAACTAAAAGAGGTGACTTAAAAAGATCAAACCCATAATGAAACCCAAAACAGAAGTGAACTTAGCTCTAGCTCAAAATTCTTGCCATAAACAAAGAACAAAGTTCTTGAAATAAAAGAGTTAAACTAAAACATTATAGCAATTGATATAAAAATAAGAATGAGAATGAGAAAGGAAAAATTGAGACTAAAAAGTTGTTAGCAAAAGTCACGAATGAATAAGTATGTTAAAAACAGGAGAAAAAAACTTACCCCATTTTGAGCTCCTTCAACTCCATGCGATTAGCTGAGAGTTAAAAGCACAGTTTGATCAGCATCTTTCCTCTAAACCAAATGTTAAAGAGAAACAAAAAGGAAAATGCTAAATCCATATTCATTTTGGCTGGTTGCACAGAATTATGCAATACAGAACTAAGAAAAAACCAGAACTGCTGTGCCACCAGCCTAACCAGAACTGCTGTGCCACCAGCCTAATGTATATGGTTTAGCTTTCAACAATTAAAAAACTCTAAGCAAGGAAGAATTCACACTCACTCCTTTTCTGCTGTATTTTTTTCTTCTTTTGCTGTTCATATCTGTACTTACTGAGAGAAAAAGATGAAAAAGCATTAATATACTTCAGTAACAGAATTCTAGATGTGGTAATGATGTTGAAAACAGATTTACAGGTATACATATCCAATTAGTTTCATTTCAAAGTATAAGGCATATCATACTTATAATCCATTATTCTAACAACTGGAGGATCTGCATCAGGGGACAAAATGACCTGCAAAAGTTATTTCAAAAACAAGTTTTTGCATCATTAAAAAATAAGTCCAAATATTTAATCTCTTATAGGAACAGAAAAAAAAAAAAAAAAAAAAAAAAAAAAA